CTGCTCGAGCCACAGACCCCTGAAATATTAATACTACGATAATTGAACTGCCATGCTTTCTATACTGCGGTAGAATCGAGCAAAATCTCAATTAAACATATTATCCAACACTGCCCCCACTTCCTAATCTCATTCGTCTTGTTTCTGTGTTTTATTTTCCTTTCGACTGATGTTTTAATAATAGATGAATTGCACGGCTGAGTAGAATACTGATTGTGCGAATCGTTGCCAAAGGTCGAAATATAATCTTTTTCACATTCTGAAGAGCAAAGAGGGAGAAAGATAAATCTCTGAACACGGAGGCTAATTAATTTCTACATAAGAAGTTTTGCCACTTAAAAAACATCTTTGTCTCAGCGCTACAGTAAAGAGGGTTTCAGATTTCCAAGCTAAATGAGCAATTGATTGGACAAAAGGGAACAAAACGACGACGGACAGGAACTGCACTCATTACACACACATCAGAAGCAACGCGAGTCAATTGGCGCTTAGTGTTAATCAGCTCGGCCTTTGTTTGAATAGTTCTTTAATGATCAAATGGGAATCAGTGTGGAGGCATTATCAGAGCTGCGAGAGGGAGGGGGGGTGAGCGGCTGTCTTCCCGTCCCAGGTCTTTAACCAAGAGAATATTTTAATCCAGCCTGACAAGTTGAGGATCTGCTTAATCCTATTACAGGCTTGCACATTAAACTACAGTAGGCCCACACTTCTCCGCCTCTTGTCTTTGTGTGAGAAAGCAGCAGATGGTGCCAGCTCAAGAGCCTACTGTAGTGAACTTTCAATGGGCTAGCGCTTGGACCCCTCCCCGTTACTAAAACAACACCGCCACAAGTGTGGAGAATGCTCTAGGAAACAACTTGTTGTCGCGGTATTCGTTTCCTCATTCAATCGTACAGTGTGTGCACATTTAGTGGATTTGTTTGTCGGTCAAAGTTAGGTGTGATGCCGCACCAGATGGCCAAGCCGTAAGAGTCAAGGAACACAGAGCTTGCCAATTGTTCTTAGAAGCTTGCCAAAGTTATTGGAAGGGGCAAAGTGATCACAGTTTCACAATAGTTTAAGCAAAGCTGAGACTTTAACGAGGTAATTGTGGGAAAGGGTTATATACACAACATATAAACAAATACTTTTATACACAAAATACTAGAAATGTTACATTCTTAACAAATGTTCTGACATCCTATGAATCAGAGAACATTATGTTTCTAACCTTTTGTGATGTGTGTATTAGGAATGGAAACGGCGTTTGTTTAATAATAATAATGAATAATTCCTTACATTTATTATAGCGCTTTTCCAGATGCTCAAAGCGCTTTACAAATACACATTACACATATTTTGTATACATGCGATGGTCACTGTGGACAATACCCACAGGAGCAAGTTCAAGTGAAGTGTCTTGCCCAAGGACACACCGGCTTTACAGACGCAGCAGCGGACATTGCGCCACACCGTCCATCTTCACGCCTCGAAGTCATCAAGGCGCTTTTACAAGTACACATTGATATCATACATGTACTGTGGACATTACCCACAGGAGCAAATCCGGGTGAAGTGTCTTGCCCAAGGACACAACGGCCCGACGCAGTGGCGGCAGGAGCGGGTTTCGAACTGGAGTTCCCCAGCACCCCTTGATCTGATGATCGGATGCACAGACCACTTTATTCAGATAAACACACATGCTGTTGTTTTGGGATCTAAAATTGTAAGATGAAGACTTGCTTTTGAGGAAACCGTTTCCTGTCACAGAAACAAGCATCTCTTAAATGTAAAGAGGCAAGAAGACATCCGACATGAGACAGAATCAGATTTGATGTATAGTGTTAACTAAGACAGGAAGTACCACTAACTACATGTATCACCTGAAGCCTTACCATGCAGTCAAGCATGCAAGCGTCCGCCCACAATCTCATACTCAAGCAATTAGACATATCCACAGGCCCATTACTATGGGCTTTCACTTCCTTAACATATACATAACATGTTTTGACGGAAATGGCATGGTAGCAAAGAATGCTGTTGGAGATTTGTTGGATTTTACACGGATACAAAATGGACCAAGATACAAGCTTCTTGACTGTAGACTTCACACTGCAGGATTTAACGATACAATATTAAAGATTGTACAAGTATTGACTGAAACTATTGTGTAGCCCTGTTATAAGGCGAGGCTGTAAACTCATCGTGTCGCTCATGACAGATTTAGGGTTAGTTTGAAGTCTGAAAACTTGTTGGGTAGTGTTGACTGTGGCAGTGGCATTAATGATGATGGAAACAATTAGGTTACAATGCCTTTGTACCAAATTGGTCTACATTCCAAAGTGTTCTGGTGTTGTTGACGAACAGGAAGTTTATCGGGGAGCGCTCTACATCTGTCAAACAGGAGAGCTTTAAAGTACAGAGGCAGATTCCACTTGTCCCACTTGTCTTCACTTCCCTCCACCCCACAGCTTCTGTCCCCTCTGAGCCTTGGCTAAGTTAGGGTTAGGGTTCATATTGGCCTTCCCACAGTGAGCAGCTTTTAACCTCCTGCCAGCTTCATCAATCTCAGCCCGGTGTGATGGCTGCTAAAAGAGGCGTGCATTAAGGACAGCCTGCCGTCTGTAAATCAGCCGAGCTGGAGGGGCCCCCTCTCGTGTGCAGCACATAGGTCGAATAGGCAGCATACCCTATGAATGTAGACATCAACACTCGCAGCAGTTAAACCCCACGAGCGGACCTCCTCTCCACCAGATGGCCATGCCGGTTCTCCATAAATGTTTAACGAGGGGAGAACAAATTAAATCAGAAGGCAAATGATCAAGCACAGTTTGAACAATGTAATCCATATATTAGGTGGTGTTAGGTTGGTGAGGAGAACACAATTGGACAATGAGAAAACATTTTCTTGTGGGGATTATAAGCCCCATCCCAATGCTCTTAACCAGCCCAATCTTACCAACAAAGCACAAGCCAATTAGCACAAAGCCCTTAGCTTTTGATTTTAATCAGTGTTTAGCAACATAAATCACCATGCCTGGGAAACAGTGAAACAATAGAAAGCCTAAGGCATTTATTTCTACTTGACGCCAATGTTCAGCTGGAAATAAAGTCAATAGGCCTGAATTGTGATGGAATGGGTTGGGTGTGTGGAGCCTTGTTGGTGATGGTGTAGGTGGGGGGGGGGGCAGAGGTCACAGTGGGTCAGAAAGCTAGCATTGAGTCACGGACAGAGTTAATACCATTAACATGAGGCATGGATGAGAAGTTCAGAGTGCACGTTCGTCTGAAAACAGATCTGATATCGACTCTTTGGGCCTAAGGTCAATTATTTAATTACATCCCTTGAATAGGAGTTTGACCTCAGCGTTTCATATTGACTTTGTTAAGACAGCAAGAAGATTAGAACAAAGTTGAAATCAAGAACCATGTCAACAGGGAGCTTCATAGATATTGTAAGGTTCAGCGCACAATGGTCACTGTATGGGTTACTGGTGCTCGAACAGCACCTGCCTTTTTTGGGACACCATGATGAGGAAAATGTCCCACTTTATAAACGTTTGACAACCCTGGTGTAACGATACCAGAACATTTCAAAGAAAATGTATCCCGTTTAGAACGCTAATTTTGATCTGTAGTGTTGAATGGCTTTGTGGCCGGCCTCTCTGACCAAGCTTTACACCTGCCACCACTGCACCGCGGTTCTATAGCACAAGATTTCAGATTTCCATTTCTTCCTAATAGCATTGGGTTTTAATTCTAAATACTTAGACACCAAGTCCCCTGCCATTGTCTGGTCGGTCAACTCTCCCTAATCTCGTATAAATCCCTACTTTCATCCCAGACAAGTGAAATCCAACTTCTTCTCCTATGTGCTGACATTCTGCTGCTGAACGGGGCATATTTACAATTGGTATGTTTTATTTAATAAATGTGGGCCCTGAAAATGGGTTCTAATGGGTTTTATTTATATAAAAAGAGAGGGTAGGTTGGCTGGCTAGTATTTTAATTGGTGTACGCCCAAACATTGTAAATCACCGGTTACACCGAAAAACCGCTTCTCCTTTGAAATTGAAAATTGAATCACGATACTTTATAAGTGTGATGCTCCTCGCACTCTTTTTATAATTTCACATTACTCTAAAACTCTAATTTGTTGCTATTACAGTATTCCTGTTTTTGTTATTATGGCGTGGAGCTAATTACTCCAGCGTAACCCACGGAGTTGGGCCCCAGCCAACTCGAGGGAGACTAATGAACTGGCACCCCAGAGGGTGTTAACATCACTGCTACAGACACTACAATTCCCATAGATCCGTCCTCCTCGCTCCACCCTCTCTGCACTGTGGACCCATCATGTGCTCATTATGCTCCAGACTCTGCTCTGTTAGCTGCAAAATGATCCAGGTACTCTGCAGACTCTCTGTAACTGTTAACTATGAACGATTGTTCTGCCTCACACCCCTCAGGCAGCAATATTTCTGCAATAATAGATAAACGAATAAAAAATAAATAAAGATTCTAATCTTTTTGAGTCATTGTTATCAGAAACATGCAGGCTCCGATGTCGGATGCATTGTATTATAACTTTGATGGTAATTTTGATTTGAATCTCGGCTTGATTTCAGGAATAAATTCTCTTTCAGTAATTCTGAACATCTGCCATGCATTAATAAGTCCACAGGCTCCTTCATTTGTTTAGTTATTTCCATTGTCGCCCGGAAAATACACTTTCCGCTACACACTTCCACAGACATCAAACCAAAAACAAGCCGGGTCCCAGGGGGAAGGGGATGATAGCAGGCTTTAAAGAGAATATTTCTTTGTCACAGTAAAACATTGAACTAGCGCAGCACCGAGTCCCTGTTGATGCAAAGGAAAGTGTGATATGTGACGCCTGGCTGAGCAGGGAGCAGTCGGGCTCACGGTCACGGGGGATTTGTTGTGTTTTGGGTTTGTCTTTTCTGTCTGCCAGCGCGTGGGTGGATTCATGGGGGCCTCCGTCTGTGCTGCTTTTACAGGTACCGCATCCTCAGCGCGCCAGAGAAATGAACTGAGGACCGAGCAGCAGACGACACGCGTTTCTTGAGGACGTCCGATATTCAAAAGACAAACCATGAGGTTACAGAAGAGCCCGGGATTGGCCGCTGTGCTTTGCCTGATCATCTGTATGTGTGCCTTCTATACAACAGCCTTCGACATCCCGCTGGAGGGTGAGTGCTGACTCTTACTACGCATGAGTAATTCAATGACTGGTGTATTTAAAGGGCCAGTTTGCGTTAATAATGAAAACACATGTTGCTGTCACTTTCTAACAAAGAAAGAGTCAAGATGTAATTGTATTGAATATCCAGAGAGTTATGGACATGTTTCTGAAATAATGTCGTTTTTAAAATGTTTAATGTTCAATGCTGTAAGCTCCGAAAACTAAATTCCATTGACTTCCATTAAATTGCATTGCAGGCACGCATCTCTCTCAAGATATATTATTGATTTGATTTTAGGAAAGTATGCATACAGCAAGTCCTTTTAACTTGAAGAGAAATGAATAAAAGGGTTTCTGAAGGAGAGTTCTAACCATGGATAGAGAACTGAATACAGCGTTGGATGCGGGACCCCGTTCATTCCTATGAAAGTTCATGGTTGGGCTATAACAGTGTTCGAACTGGGTAGTCGATATAACAACAATCTGCTGATTTACAGAAGTCCCTTTCCCCAATGTAAGTCAATGTGAAATAGTATTTTTGGACCCATTGACGTCACAGGAGTTTTAGTACCATCGTTAGCCATTACAAATATTTGCTTCAATGTCCGACACACTTCCTGGGGGCTTGGTTTTAACCCCCCACCAATGCATGCTGGGATATTTGCAAGAATGTGATCTTCTAAACTTGATGACACACATGAACAGTGAACCTCCAATAATACATTAAGCCTCATGTTCATTCTGAAATCAAAATATTGTACATTTAAGATAACTCATTCAGTATACAATTCCCAAATGTTTACACAAAGGACACTTATTAGGAACACTATGTTAATTCAAGACAGTCCTTGATGAAGCAAGCACATGCGGCAGTGTATAAAGGACAGGTAATGTGAAAGGAGTGTTAAAATTGTTAATGCTCATCTACAGAGAACTTGTCCTTGAAATGCTTTTATCAGCAAAATGTCGAATAATTTATAGGCGAATAAATCCAATACAGAACTGTTACACTCATCAAGCGTTCTGTGAATGGAATACATTTACAGCTCTTATCTCGTGTGAATCCGGGTTTGTTTTCTTTGTGTTGTTTCTGCGTGTACCCCAGTTTCCTTGGAAACACATATCAAACCTCTCCCTTTTTCAATGATTCAGAAGTATCTCTTAAGAGCTTGATAAAGAACAGTTCAAACAGGCTTTTCTGAGGAGAGGTTTTCGTGCTCCCTGATGTCGGAATATCCTTTTAATTCAGCCTCCTGTTATGCATTACTCATGTGTGTTTAGAAGGGTTTATATAGAGAATGCTTGAGACATGAAGAGATTATTCCCAAAATGCTGACTGTTTTTCGTTTTGTTTATTCCCCCCCCCTGCTGCCATGGATTTTGTAGTTTTAGGTCATGTAAACAGTAAGTTCACTCTGCCATAGCGTAGCTCGTATTAGCGACATTCTGCTGCTAATCTCTTTGGTTCGCTGTGGAGCGCAGCAGAAGCTTTACTTACTGCCATATGTGTTGGATCACAATCTCATGTGTCATCAGTCGTGACTCCATTTAGCTTGTACTACTCATGGCATGCCCATACCTTCCTCTATACACAGTATTATTAATACTTATTGTGTTGTTTGTTCCATATTGTCACAAGTATGCCATCATACAAAACCAAATGACAGAATAAAACCAATCTAACAAAACCACTTATTCATTTGAATCATTAACTCTATCGACAAAATACTACATGTTTCATTCATTTAGAGTAATGTTATTGTCAGTATTCTATACCAATGTTTTTGGGATGTAACTCATCATAAACCTCACATTCCAGTGGTTCCCAACCTGAGTGAATCTGACTGGTCACAAGAGGATTACATGGATAAGAAATAAAGAAAAACATATTTCCGTTTGACGATATTCTACAGTTTCACAGACTACTCTTCATTTGTGCTTTTTCTAAGAAAAGCTGGACTTTTTAATACTTAAGGATTATTTTAGAATCCTTAAGAGATATTCTTCAATGGCCCGAACACCTTAAAATTCTATTAAGTATTACCCCTTATCTGATGGACTTTCTTAAGAGTTGTGCACAGAATCCCTTAGAAATATTTCCTACAAATAAATGTAAGGCATTAAGTGCATTATAACAGATGTCATAAAAACCTTTTGTTTGCTTGCAACTGGCTTCTGTGCCTGTTTTCACTTACCGTTCTCTCACAGATGTGGCCTCTGGATTGACAACTTGTCTGTTCTGGCCAAAAGAGAGCACGCTTTAAACTGCAAAGGTGTGTAAAGAGCACAGCTGCAGAAGGTAGAGTGATCCAACTCTAAACAGCCGGATAAATCATGTATCGAATACTAGATCCATAGTGCGAACAATTCTTGTTACCATGTGTTCATTTTTCTTATGCTTTAAGTTATATTCAGAGGGACCTAAAGTCCTGTTCCATACTTTGATTGCTGAGGACTTTCTTGCAACTAACTAACTTTAAAAGGAGGACTTAAGTATGAGACCAAGATAATGAGATACCCAAGTAAATATTTCTTAAGAGAAGCCTATTTCTTCTAATTGATTTTGTTATAAGGAAACTTTAACTTGGCTTCAAACTAAATTCTTAACTTGAGGTGATTTGTGCAAAAGCTGCTCTCAAATATATATATATATCTTCGTAAAGGCTGTTTTACATGCGACGAGGGGTCACAAGTTGACTTTCACAGGGGGGTCACAAGCCAAAAAGGTTGGGAAGCACTACTCGTTTTCATCACATTGACTGATACTGCTGAACAGAGCTCTGTATTAAACCCTGTGCTGTGTTTCTCCAGTCGAGCAGCTGCCCACCATCACCGATCAGTCGCCCAGCTCTCTCATCGCCTTCCCCTTCGACGAGAGCTTCCCGATGATGTGCGAAGCCAAGGGAAACCCCGAGCCAGAGTGAGTAGCTGGTCGCAAAAACAACAGTTTGTCAACAAGTTGAATTTGGGTGGAAAAGGAGCATTCTGCAGTGCTGACCCAAGGCCTTGACATTTCAACACTGCCTTTCTTTATGTAGATTCAGATGGACCAAGAATGGCCAGGAATTCGACCCCGATCTAGACCCCCGACTGATGAAAGAGGAGAATTCTGGGACCTTTGTGATACCTAATAATGGGAACCTCACTGAGTACCAGGGAAACTATCGCTGTTACGCCTCAAACAGACTGGGGACCGCCATATCCAAGGAGATTGAGTTCATTGTGCCCCGTGAGTAACATACATCTGTGTGTAGGTCTGTGTGTGTGTGGTGCTCTGTTACAGTGCTTTCAAAGTGATTCAGGGCCTGTGTAATGACTGCGCCTCTCCATTGTGAGCTTTTCATTGTATCGGACGTGGCAGAAAGTCATTGGGGCTCCCGAGCTTTCCGCCCCTCATCTATAGCACTGGAGAAAAGAGCATTGAGGGTGATGCAGCCTCTCCATCATTTCCTCTGCTACACTTTTCCATTAGCTTCCACACTGTATATAAACTCTCAGGTTGAATCCATGCTATGGGGGGAGACATTTAGCACTCAGCAGCCACATGCCAGACACAATAATAGTAGTGATGGCTGTTTTGTCCAAAATCTCCCATAGATTTCTCCACTGAGTGAAACAGGAAACACTTTATAAGCTTCTGACTAAACCCACGAATGATTTGACTGCCATCTCCTGGAAAACGAGGGAACTGCATCCTTCGTATCATTCATTCCCTTCTTTTCTTTCAGATGTTCCGAAGTTTCCTAAAGAGACCCTGGATCCTGTGGAGGTGGAGGAAGGCCAGGCTTTGGTTTTAGAGTGTAACCCCCCTCAAGGGATACCCCCCCTCCAGATCTACTGGATGACCATCAGTAAGTGAGACCTCTTTGTTGGGATGAATTAACGGATGTCTAATAATAATTTAAAAAATACAAATAATAAAAAAAGAAAATACTAATATTTGAAATAATTACTTTAATTACATTTTTTTTTAAATGCGAAAAAATAAAGGAAAAGACAAATACAATAAAATATAAACAAAAATCACAAGATATTAAAACGGATGAATTCATAATTACACATAAACAGCAAGGAATACATTAAGTAAATGCATATTAAATGTGCAATTCACTTAAAAATACAAATCTTGACATTGTTTTGATGCATCTTAATCCTCACACACAACTATATATATTATATACAATGATAAAGTTATCTATTAAGGGCTTTAACATGTGCTGAAAGACGCTTTACAAAGATAACAAATAAAGTGTCCTTCATTTAAAGTCTTAAGTTAAGCTCAGGTGTATTAGAAACAAAATGTACTTAAGATATTAAAGTAGAAGTCTAATTTCTGTAGGGAAAGTGTTCTCTATGACTTGTATATCTTTTTGCATTGGTGTTATATAGTCTTTAAATAATAATAAACAAAAAGATATTAAAACTAATTAATTGATAATAACACATAAACCGCAAGTGGTAAATTAAGTAAATGCATATTAAATGTGCAATTCAGCTAAAAATACAAATCTTCACATCTTAATCCTCACACACGACTTGCTTAAATGAGGTGTATATATGTACAATAATAATAACGCATTTGAGCTATTAGTTGCTTTGACATGTGCTGGAAGACGCTTTGCAACGATAAAAAATAAAGTGTCCTTCATTTAAAGTCTTACTTAAGTTAAGCTCAGGTGTATTGGAAACTAAATGTTCTTAAGGTATTAAAGTAAAAGCAGGAAGTGTCCTCTATGACTTGTATATCTTGTTAATGGGTGTTTAAAAAAGTGAACGCTCCTCTCCTCAGATCTGCAGCACATCGAGCAGGATGAGAGGGGTCTCCATGGGGCTGAACGGAGACCTCTACTTCTCCCACGCCATGGAGAAGGACAGCCGGAGAGACTACTGCTGCTTCGCCGCCTTCCCCAGGATACGCACCATCGTTCAGAAGAACGCCATGTCGGTCATCGTCAAGACAAGTACGTGTCACCTCAGCGTCTCCATCCTCTCCGGTTCCTGTTTTCATCTGAAAGCTGCATGATGCAACACTTTGATTTGCTCTCAGATCATTTCAGCGATGTCCATATTCACACTTCAAAAGCCATCTGAGTGTCACACACTGTCTCGTTTATTCGCATCTCCTTCGGTTTGATCTCGGTGATGTTTTTGTCGTGATGTATCCCAGCTGTCATGTTCATTGTGGTTTTTCTTTTTGTTTCATTCATCGTCATTTCAGAAAACATGAGTCCTGAAACCGGTAAGTTTGAAGTTTTTAGGGTAGAAAACACTTGCGTTGTGTGTGTGTGTGTGTTGTGTGTGTGTGTGTGTGTGTGTGTGTGTGTGTGTGTGTGTGTGTGGTGTGTGTGTGTGTGTGTGTGTGTGTGTGTGTGTGTGTGTGTGTGTGTGTGTGTGTGTGTGTGTGTGTTGTGTGTGGTGTGTGTGTGTGTGTGTGTGTGTGTGTGTGTGTGTGTGTGTGTGTGTGTGTGTGTGTGTGTGTGTGTGTGTGTGTGTGTGTGTGTGTACATCCTTGTGGGGGACCTACATCTGTTTACACAGTCACGTGTGGGGACTGGCTTCCCCAAGGGTTAGGTGTGTGTGTGTGTGTGTGTGTGTGTGTGTGTCCTCTGAAGCATACTAGTGTAAGCAATAGTACAGACTTCTTTGGGGTGGAAATCATGCTTCCCTTTTCCTACATAGAAGACAAACACAACAGCCAACAAGAAATAATAAAGACAAAACATAGCATGACAGGAATACCATACTTAATGACACACATAGTCACAGCGGGAAAGAACATACGAAATAGTATATATAATAAAGGGTTCACCCTCTGCTGTTCTCCCTCAGCTAACGCCATCCTGGAGCGGAGACCCTCTCTTCTGACGCCTTCTGGTGGCAAGTCAGAGACACAGCTGGTCAAAGGGGAGGACCTGACATTGGAGTGTATTGCTGAGGGATTGTAAGTAGCACTGCCTTTTTAATATTATAAATACATGTAATATTATTCATTTTATGTTCAAAATCCAATCACCGCTCTTGCTAATGCTTCTCACCACATTTGAATGTCATCTTTTTGAAGTCGTATCGCTTTTTCTTGCAGCAAAACTAAAACATATTTTGTCATTATACCATCCTCTTTGATTATCTGAAGAATCAAATAAACCGAGCGCTGCCTAACACAACATGGAGACTACACAGCAAAGCCTTTCTACTCTTTGCCTTTAGTTCTTAATTGATTTTCAGATACTTTGTATGAGTTTCTAAGGACATCGCTCGGACTACCTTTTCAGAAACACTCCTACTCTTTCAGATGTTTTAATAAAGCAGATGAAAAACAGTTTGTGTTGCTTTCAGGCATTATGCTCCTCAAGGTTGGAAAAGAGCCTTTAAGAGAGGAGCTGAACATATTGATATTAGAAAGCAGAAAGCTATCTGTTTATTCTGGCTTTAACAGAATCTAGTGTTTTATAAGTGAGTGGTTCTTTTATCAATATCATTTACTTTCTTTCGAATTACACTTTTCTCTTTGTGTAATTCTCTTTTAAAGCCCTTGAAGTGCATTTGATTTGTTTGGTAGGTGCATAACATATAAATTAAAGGTCCCCTATTATGCAAAATCCACTTCACCACGTCTCTTCTACATCAACATGTGTCCCCTCTTCTTCATGTCTCGTCTACATCAACATGTGTCCCCTCTTCTTCATGTCTCGTCTACATCAACATGTGTCCCCTCTTCTTCATGTCTCTTCTACATCAACATGTGTCCCCTCTTCTTCATGTCTCTTCTACATCAACATGTGTCCCCTCTTCTTCATTTCTCTTCTACATCAACATGTGTCCCCTCTTCTTCATGTCTCTTCTACATCAACATGTGTCCCCTCTTCTTCATGTCTCTTCTACATCAACATGTGTCCCCTCTTCTTCATGTCTCTTCTACATCAACATGTGTCCCCTCTTCTTCATGTCTCTTCTACAATCAACATGTGTCCCCTCTTCTTCATGTCTCTTCTACATCAACATGTGTCCCCTCTTCTTCATGTCTCTAATACATCAACATGTGTCCCCTCTTCTTCATGTCTCTTCTACATCAACATGTGTCCCCTCTTCTTCATGTCTCTTCTACATCAACATGTGTCCCCTCTTCTTCATGTCTCTTCTACATCAACATGTGTCCCCTCTTCTTCATGTCTCTTCTGCATCAGCAGTGTCCCCTCTTCTCCATTCTCTCCTTCATCAACTGGTTGTCCCCTCTTCTTCATGTCTCTTCTACATCAACATGTGTCCCCTCTTCTCATGTCCTCTTCTACATCAACATGTGTCCCCTCTTCTTCATGTCTCTTCTACATCAACATGTGTCCCCTCTTCTTCATGTCTCTTCTGCATCAGCATGTGTCCCCTCTTCTCCATGTCTCTTCTACATCAACATGTGTCCCCTCTTCTTCATGTCTCTTCTTCATCAACATGTGTCCCCTCTTCTTCATGTCTCCTCTACATCAACATGTGTCCCCTCTTCTCCATGTCTCTTCTACATCAACATGTGTCCCCTCTTCTTCTTGTCTCTTCTTCATCAACATGTGTCCCCTCTTCTTCATGTCTCTACTACATCAACATGTGTCCCCTCTTCTTCATGTCTCTTCTTCATCAACATGTGTCCCCTCTTCTTCATGTCTCCTCTACATCAGCATGTGTCCCCTCTTCTCCATGTCTCTTCTACATCAACATGTGTCCCCTCTTCTTCTTGTCTCTTCTTCATCAACATGTGTCCCCTCTTCTTCATGTCTCTTCTACATCAACATGTGTCCCCTCTTCTTCATGTCTCTTCTTCATCAACATGTGTCCCCTCTTCTTCATGTCTCCTCTACATCAACATGTGTCCCCTCTTCTTCATGTCTCTTCTACATCAACATGTGTCCCCTCTTCTTCATGTCTCCTCTACATCAACATGTGTCCCCTCTTCTTCATGTCTCTTCTACATCAACATGTGTCCCCTCTTCTTCATGTCTCTTCTTCATCAACATGTGTCCCCTCTTCTTCATGTCTCTTCTACATCAACATGTGTCCCCTCTTCTTCATGTCTCTTCTTCATCAACATGTGTCCCCTCTTCTTCATGTCTCTTCTACATCAACATGTGTCCCCTCTTCTTCATGTCTCTTCTACAACAACATGTGTCCCCTCTTCTTCATGTCTCTTCTACATCAACATGTGTCCCCTCTTCTCCATGTCTCTTCTTCATCAACATGTGTCCCCTCTTCTTCATGTCTCTTCTACATCAACATGTGTCCCCTCTTCTTCATGTCTCTTCTACATCAACATGTGTCCCCTCTTCTTCATGTCTCTTCTACATCAACATGTGTCCCCTCTTCTTCATGTCTCTTCTACATCAACATGTGGTCCCCCTCTTCTTCATGTCTCTTTTACATCAACATGTGTCCCCTCTTCTTCCATGTCTCTTCTACATCAACATGTGTCCCCTCTTCTCCACGTCTCTTCTACATCAGCATGTGTCCCCTCTTCTTCATGTCTCTTCTACATCAACATGTGTCCCCTCTTCTTCATGTCTCTTCTACATCAGCATGTGTCCCCTCTTCTTCATGTCTCTTTCTACATCAACATGTGTCCCCTCTTCTCCATGTCTCTTCTACATCAGCATGTGTTCCCCCTCTTCTCCATGGTCTCTTCTACATCAACATGTGTCCCCTCTTCTTCATGTCTCTTCTACATCAGCATGTGTCCCCTCTTCTTCATGTCTCTTCTACACAACATGTGTCCCCTCTTCTTCATGTCTCTTCTACATCAAACATGTGTCCCCTCTTCTTCATGTCTCTTCTGCATCAAACATGTGTCCCCCTCTTCTTCATGTCTCTTCTACATCAACATGTGTCCCCCTCTTCTTCATGTCTCTTCTACATCAGCATGTGTCCCCTCTTCTTCCTGTCTCTTCTACATCAACATGTGTCCCCTCTTCTTCATGTCTCTTCTACATCAACATGTGTCCCCTCTTCTTCATGTCTCTTCTACATCAACATTGTGTCCCCTCTTCTTCATGTCTCTTCTACATCAACACGTGTCCCCTCTTCTTCAGGTCTCTTCTACATCAACACGTGTCCCCTCTTCTTCATGTCCTCTTCTACATCAACTGTGTCCCCTCTTCTTCATGTCTCTTCTACATCAACACGTGTCCCCCTCTTACTTCATGTCTCTTCTACACATCAACACGTGTCCCCTCTTCTTCATGTCTCTTCTGCATCAACATGTGTCCCCTCTTCTTCATGTCTCTTCTACATCAACATGTGTCCCTCTTCTTCATGTCTCTTCTACATCAACATGTGTCCCCCTCTTCTTCATGTCTCTTCTACATCAACATGTGTACCCCTCTTCTCATGTCTCTTCTACATCAACATTGTCCTTAGGTCCCCATTTTCCCCTCTTCTTCATGTCTCTTCTACAATCAATAGTGTCCCCTCTTCTTCATGTCTCTTCTACATCAACATGTGTCTCCTCTTCTTCATGTCTCTTCTACATCAACATGTGTCCCCTCTTCTTCATGTCTCTTCTACATCAACATGTGTCCCCTCTTCTTCATGTCTCTTCTACATCAACATGTGTCCCCTCTTCTTCATGTCTCTTCTACATCAACATGGTCCCCCTCTTCTTCATGTCTCTTCTACATCACATGTGTCCCCTCTGTGGAAAGAGACTCTGAAAGTTTCAGGAACAAAGATTCTCTCTCTTTTTGATCCATTTCTATAAAAACCTGTCTGAAAATGAGCTGATCAGATTTTGGCCACTTCATGATGTCATAACGATGTGTTGGCTTGTGTAACCATTAGCCAATCACCAACCAAGGTAACCCCCCCCCCCCACCTTATCACCTGAATGTCCTCCTAGAGCACCATTGTGTTCTTTCTAACCAAATGTCTCTCAGAGGGGCGTGGGGAGGGGCTCCTTATTTTCATCTAAGGTAACAGACAGAGAATCAGCACTTTGGAAACAGGGCTGAAACAGAGGGGATTATGGGTAATGCTGCAATGATCTGTTTGGTGTTTCAGCCAATCAGAGACTTGTTTTGTATATATCTTTTATATTATCTATTAACGGGTGGCGCAGTGGTTAGAGCGTTGATCATCAGCGTTGGTGAACTCCAGTTCGAAACCCGCCTCGGCCGCCGCTGCGTCAGGCCGTTGTGTCCTTGGGCAAAACACTTTACCCGCATCTGCTCCTGTGGGTAATGTCCACAGTAATGACTCTTACATGTCTAATATGTGTAGAGCGCTTTGAGCACCTGTAAAAGCGCTCTAATTAAAAATGTAATGCATCATTATTATATCTGGGACATATATTGCTGAAAAACAGTGTAATAGGGGACCTTTAACGTTCTCTCTTTGCTGTTAGTCCAACTCCTCAGGTAGAGTGGGTGAAGATGGGTCATCGGCTGCTCCCCTCTAAAGTCATACAGGAGAACCACAAGAAACAGCTGATTGTGCCGAGGGTGGAGCTGGAGGACAGCGGGAAGTACATGTGCAAAGCCAAGAACGCTCTGGGAGAGGCCGTCCATTACTTCATGGTGACGGTAGAAGGTAAATGCAGCCAGTTGACCTAAGATTTTCATTGTCATAACTACACTGTAGCTATTCACAAATGACAATTAAAGCCTTGAATCTTGAAGCTTGAGTTGCTAAATGACTCTGGTGTATTATTTTCTCTTTCTTATTTACTTCTACTACTACTAATGCTACGTTTGAAATAATTCCACATTTGAATGGTTAGCTGATGGTCGACCTTTCAATGTTTAAAGCAGACCATTTTTCAGAATTAGTAGCTCTAATAAAATGGGATGATATTGATTACGTTTTAAGGAGGCAAAACGACTGTCAATCGATGAAGTACAGAAAAGTATGATTACAATTCTTAAAATACTGCATTCAAGTCCTGCATTTAGAAATGTACTAAGACAACGAAATGCAGTCAGCATCGAACCAGAAGTGCAAAATAAGCAGTGCAGTGTTATTCAAGGTATAATCTGAAGTATTCACATTTTGAACAGAAAAGTTGTCTAACTATAAAAATTCCTTTCTAAATATATTGGAGAGGAGTATAAAGTAGACGAAATGCAAAAAGGTAAGTTTAGTACCTCTGAATTATACTTAAGCACTTGCTTTTTACTTTAAACGTTAAGTGCCCTACTTGAATTCCCATCACTGAGTAACGTTAGATTGAATGTAATGTAGATAAAGATTAAGTAAAAATGGCAGCTTATTTATTCACACATCGCTATAGATGCCGTACTATTAGCTATATAAGATCCTATTAGAAACATAGTGACTAAGGCATATGTACTTTGAAGTGGAACTTTGCCTGAAGCCATTATACAGGGATTACATTTCATTCTAACATCCTGTACATATGTATGGTTTCTATGGCTCCGTGCTTTACTGAGCTTTGTGTCAGTCGTGCCGACTGTACCGAGCTGTATGTGCATATACATTACACTCTGACGATAATCATCTCAGGGATAGAAACCTTTACATAATGTCTATTATGTTCCCGCAATGATCCGGGGGAAGCAGCTGAAGTGCCTCTTACTCCTCAATAGCCAGACCTGTAAATATAGCGTTTATCTCAGCAGGGCTCTTATGCAGAATAACATATGCTCCTGTGATGGAGTCCACTCATGATGACTCTCATCCGCTGGGTAATATCCTGCTGATTGTGTCTCCGCAGAGCCTCCGGAGTGGGTGGTGGAGCCGGAGAGTCAGCTTAGTATGATCGGATCAGACGTGCTCATCAAGTGCTCGGCCAGCGGGACGCCCCGCCCCAGGATCACATGGAGGGTGAACGGAGAGCCTCTGCAGGGTCAGTCCACACCACACCATCATTTCAGACTCATTTTACCACTTCAAACGTCTCTCCTGAGGGCTAATCCGGACGCCTGGGGGTTTGAATGAATCGGAATACCTTTATTAGTCCCACAGAGGGGACATTTATGTTGTTACAGCAGAAAAGAGCCAAAGACAGCTTAATGTTACCTAGGCATGCATACACGTTTAAAAGTATTAAATTACATTATAATTACATTATAATTAAAAAAAGTTACACAATTTACAAAATACACATCCTGAAACAGTTCTGAGGATTTAGCAGCCAGGTATAAATCGCACAGTTATTAACGGCATATATACATATTGCACATATAGCACATAGTTGGTTGGTATTTAACAACAAGGGGTGTTATAGTCTGTGTGGGGGGGGGGGTTAGGGTAAAGTGGTGATGTTGTCTTGCTATTCTTGTGAATACAATGGTAGCCAAACATTTAAAGGGATGAATGGATTAACACAATGATAAAATAACCCGGAAGAAAATGAAAGATCATGTTGTCTTTATTTCACTTTGGCTGGGCGTAAGGCACACATGTTGGTTTGATTAGATCTTTATTTGGGAAGGGGGGATTTTATCCTCAGCTCCTATATATTAAGCCCTTAATGCAGGGGTGTCAAACTCAAGGCCCGGGGGCCGAATCCGGCCCGCGACTTCATTTAATGTGGCCCGCATGCAAAGAATATAATACGTTCATTATACGGTTACATGCCACTTTACAGGGGCACGTTGCCCATCAACTACATGTCCCACAATGCATCTTATTTTGTGACATGCTCACTGAAGAGACTTGCAATTATTTGCCCTAGACTTCTGCTTTCAGACGTAGTTAATGATGAAGTTATTACCCTATCCGATTATAATCCAATGCAGAGTCAATAATGTATTATAATACATTATTTATTATATTTTTATATAGTCTTAAAGTCACAACCGGCCCTTTGAGTGCAACCATAATTCTGATGTGGCCCGCAATGAAATTGAGTTTGACACCCCTGCCTTAATGCATTAAAATCACTGTTTTAGTTTTAAACTTGAATATTCTCTTGGATTAGAAATGTACGAGAAAATAAAAAGTTTGTGGTTATCTTTAAGGATCCACATTGGTTAACTTAACAAGGTTTGATCAACCTCATGACTCCACAGACGCTCAACCCTAACCCAGTATGGAACATTTTCTCCATTGTTGTAGTTACTGATGCACAAATGCACTCACCTCATACAGTATAGACCCGATTCACAGCCATGTCTCTTGAAGTGAGATTTCTTATCGTTAAATCTGATTGCAAGGTATCATTTGATAAGATCATCCACTGCACGCATCTTACAAGGCAAGTTAGGCCATCGGGTTCTCAACAAAAAACATGCTTTTCCCGATATTCGTGAATTTCTTTAAATATTCCCCACTAACTATATGACTTTAATCACAGAAATGATTACATATTATACCCTTCCCTCTGCTCTATAATTGATTTTTCTTTATCTACAATTGCCCTAATAAGCGTTGATACATAATTTACAACATTGGAGAGAGTGTTCAGAAGTGGACTGGATAGATAGCCCTGGCTTATTGCCCTTAGAGAGAATGAAATAGACTCAAAGCTAGAGAGTCAATCGGAGAAATTAAAGCTAAGATTGTGAATCCAGTGTGTCTATCATGTACATACAGCGTTGCAGCATGTAGGGCAATGATCGAAAACAAATCTATGTATTTCACAGGTTCCCCCGCTGCCAACAGGAAGGTGTTTGACGACACCATCATGCTACACAACGCCAAAGAGTCTGACAGCGCCGTGTATCAGTGCGAGGCCTCCAACAAACACGGCACCCTTCTGTCAAACGCAAACATCATGGTCATGAGTAAGTGTGTCTCTTCTGTTAGCAGGCACCACTTCACTTTCATCAAGTACAAAAAGGAATCTGTTTTCCACCGCGTTTGTTTCACAGTGTGTGTGAGCAAGTGCCAGACGTTGCAGTGAGTCATCAGGAGACCGCTGTCTGATGTGTCTGAGCTAAAGAGCTGCTGCTGATGTTGGCATATGTCCATAAAGCAGCGAGGAGCCCGGGGAAGAAGGCCTGTCTACAAACTCCTTCATTCGGGCTAGCGCTTCTCCCTGTGGAGCAACAAGCCTGCCATTTATATGCTAACAAGTTCTCCCTCAATTCCATACTGATTTCAGGGCCATGTGTTGCTTTACAAGTGCAGATTATAGGGGGAAAAAAGTGTTTTTCTGTCACTCCCGCACCAACGTGTGCAGCTTGTTCTCCGTGACACAGGAGTTAATAACGCCGGACAGCCGCTGAATGCTAAGTCCCGGCGGCTGCCTTTGTAAACAATTGGGAGAGACAGAGCATTTTTAAAATGGGAGGCTTTGGCTACAACTGATAAGGTGCACACACTCGGCTCACTCATTGTTTTCTTTGATTTCATTCTTTGGCATTTATTGACAGCCGAGTGGTTTTTTAACACAAAGGAGGCAACAATTACCGCGGCAGTGCTGTTTAACCCGGGATTATCTGCCTCATTCCTTCCTGTTTGTTTTTAAGAATACATTTGCAAACCTGATCTCTCTCTCGTTATTTTAAAACTCCTGAAAGTACCACCGTTCAAGTTTCTCTAACAACTTCTGCTCTTTACAGATCTGGCCCCCATGATTTTAACCAAGGAAGGGGAGGAATACACCGCAGTGGAGGGGAAGGGAGCGATGATGCACTGCAATGTGTTCAGCTCTCCTCCTCCTACTATCACATGGTAGGTGTGCTCTCCGTTACGCCAGCAGAGAGCAGTGGATCTCAACGTGAAGCTGCACTCAGTCCCTCGGCATGCATCGTGTCTCTTTATTAGTGACCTGCTGTTTCGTTTAAACCCTGTCGCTCAACGTTAAATGTTCTATTCAGCAACTTCTTATTCCTTCTTTGCTGCCACAGCTTGCTGTTTATCCAGTCAGGCTGCTACTGTGTTCATATTTCATTTGGCCTTAAGCACTTTGAAGCTTTAATGAGGGTTTTTCTGAATGTTTACCCAGGAGCAGGGACGACTCCCCTGAATCCGTGCAGGGACAGAGGTTTAGTGTTCACGACAACGGGTCGCTGGAGATCTACGGCACGGAGAAGGACGACATGGGACAGTACCAGTGCTTTGCGAAAAACACAGAGGGGTCGTCCGCCCTCAACGCCATGCTCTACGTGAGAGGTAAAAGCTTCACCTGATAAAAAGTTTCCATTGGCTCACAGCCATTACCATGACACTAATACTAAAGTCCCCTACGTGTATTGGGGTTACAGATGGGGTCCAAAACTAGCAAGCCACATGAATGTTTGGGAGCAAATTGATTGTATAAGCTACACAAATACGGCCAGGATCCGTTGAATTTTCCAAAGGCGGGTTCGTTTAGCATGAAACACTTAATAACTAAAGGAAAGTGAGGTCAAAGAAAACTATTTCTGCTCAAAAGTTAGCAATGATTGAGTCACCTAAACATTTCAGATGTGTGCATCTCACTGTCACTTTAATTAATGTACCTTTGTTATTCCTCTTTTATTATCTTTGCTTTTAAATGATTTTAATGTCTTTCATTTTTGTAAAGCACGTCGAATTGCCTTGTGTTGAAAGCTGCTATATAAATAAATGTGCCTTGCCTAATACGCTTCTGCCTTCTGAAAGATCCCACCAGAATAGTGGCGGCCCAGGAGGACCTGCAGGTGTTAGTCGGTACCACGGCCCAGCTGTCGTGCCTCGCGCAGTACGACAAGTCCTTCAACAACGACTTTGAGCTCCTGTGGGAAAAAGACGATATACCAATAACCCTGAACTACACTGAGAACTCAAGGTGGGAACTGAATTATATGTTTTTGTTTTTTTGGCATTGCAGACCTAAAAGTATAACAGTCCTGCAATAAAATGCTTAAACAATCAGATCTGTGCTTTGTTGAGTTGTGAAATCTGTGACTTTAATTTAGTCGTTTTTGTTTGGTTAGTGACTTTAATAGCGTTGTGTTCCCTTTTTGCACTTTTCAGCGTGTTGGATTTCTACCAGAAGCTGACATTTATTTACATATTAGCCAGTTTTAAGCCACATGTTTAAGGTGGACTTGTTAGATCGTGTTTGTTTTGAACTACGTGTTTTAAACAGATGAAGGATTTTAGTCATCAGACAACTGTATTTTAATTTGTCAGGCAGAAACCCAGATTGATTTTCTACCTAAAACTGCTTTCTTCAGTGTTTCTTTTCTCATTTTAAACACCGGGTTCGTTTGTTTTTGAGTGGAGGAGACCTCTGCAGATTGTTCTGACATCAATGAAGGTTAAGACAACAACTCCCATAAGCCCACTCTACTTCAGAATGCCCTGAAACTCCTCCTTTTATCATTTGATGTTTACGGGACCCTTTGTGTCAGAAAATCGCATACTGTGTGTTTAATCCCAGTGTGTTTTAATATCCTGTCTCTATCATTCCTTCCACAGATACTTTGTGGAGAATGGAGTCCTTCAGATCACCAATGTGAGCCACAGGGACCAGGGTCTCTTCACCTGCGTGGCCAGGACCCCGGTGGACCGAGACGCCGCCTCAGCGCTGCTCATGGTGTTAGGTGAGCTCACATAAGAACAATATCTGTGCTCCGGGGCCACAGACTCACGGTGCTACATTTATGTATGAGACATTCATAAAAGGATCAATATGTCAGGAAGCCAAAGCGGAGCATGAACATGCACACCGTGGCTTTATTAGCACGCTGTCTGACAATCGCCCTTTTGAGATATATTTGACATTGTAATGTCTGGAAGAACCAGCGGCAGCGATGCAGCTCGTTCCACATCCTCTGGCTCCGAGTCGATTGGCCATTTGTTACCACGTTTCTTTAGCTGCAGAAATGTGTCTGTGATTTCTTAACGCCGTGTTGTTGTGATTGTTTTTAGATGTCCCCGATGCTCCTGAGTTCTTGGTACTGTCGGACCACAAGAGCAGGAGTGTGAAACTGAAATGGAACCCCGGGGACGATCACAACAGCTCCACCACAGGTAAAGGTGTCATACATGCAGTCCACTGAATATAGTGCCTTTTCACTGAAATGTTTTAAAGGTACAGGTGTTTTGAAGTGGGGTTGTATAAGTGACTTATCCATAGTCAGTGTATTACCTACAGTGGAAGGTGACGGGTTCCCAGAAGGTATTTACTGCAGTGGAAAGGGACAGCAGCAAAATGTATTTTAGCTAAAAGTGAAAAAAAGGCCCCGCCCAAAAAGTTCTGTTGAAGTTTAGATTAGGTTAAATAGGCATCTGCCAATTGGAAGATTGGGTGATTCGATCCCCAGCCAACGTGATGTCACTGGTTTGATCCCCAGCTCTTGGGCAAGATACTTAACACCAAATTGCTCAAGTTGGCATGTCTAAGGTATCAAAGTGTAAGTCATCTGCTTTGGTTGAAAGTGTGAGCAAAATGACGTGTCATGTACGCTTAGTTTAGAACATTATCACCGCTTTAGTTTACCCAGAAACAGATACATTTCCGACAGGAATCAGAAGCTGTTATTTAAGCGCTCTTCGAAGCCACCAAACTCTGGACAAAAACACTAATTCTACGTCGCAGAACACAGAACAGTTGTTGCTGTTCTACTGCTGCCATTGTTGTTCACATTCTAGTATGTTTCTGTTATGGTGTGATTATTGTGATTCTGGAATAACACGATCTTAACCAATCAACACCAGACCCCCTGTGTTCCTGCAAGGCAAACATTACAGCTTTTTAAAATTGGGTCTGTTTGCTTTGGAGAAAGCATAGATAACAGCTTCAGTTCCCGGTCGATAACGGCTGAATGACAGCGAGGGAAAGCAGTGAAAATATCCAGATTTCTAAGGTTGCTAAAAAAAATGTGCTGCTGCTGTCCACAGCTAGTACTCCTGTCTACTTCTCAAAATGTTGCAACTACCATCTCCTGTTGGCAATACTCGGACAATGGATACGTACTTTATACATTTCCACTTCAAAACACCTAACTATCCCTTTAATCTGACACAACACAGATTTTGGGCATCATTCAGCTCGCTAATAGATTTTTTTTGATACCATCTTGTACAATATGAGTCTATTATTGATTAATCCGAGCGTGAGTTGTGATTAGTCTCCCCTCGGTATACACAGGCCCAGAGCAGAGGTTTCCTCCTGCACAGCTGCTGGTTAGATAAGCAGTCCTCTGGCATGGCAGTGAGGGAGCACGCTGATTGTCTTTCTGCCTGTCAACAGAGTTTATCATCGAGTACGAGGAGAGCCAGTGGGAGCCCGGAAGCTGGAAGGAGCTGCTCCGAATACCTGGGAACCACAACTCTGCCGTGGCCAAACTCCACGGGCACGTCGACTATCGCTTCAGGGTGTCCGGAGTTAACGATGTGGGGAGGGGGCGTCCCAGCGAGCCCACGGAGAGATACAAAACCCCGGCCACAGGTCTGAGGCTCTCATTGTTTCTATTATCTATTTTTGTATCTAAACACGGACAGATGGACGGATGGACGGATGGACAGAAAGATAGATACTTTATCTCAATTATTTTATTTTATTTTGTCAATCTACAAGAATTACAAAATTACTTGAAAATAGAATAAATAACAAATAAAATAAAGATTAAAATGTAAAAACATCTACTAAACATAGTGTACTATACTGTACATTAAAACCTTGTGTACAGTAGCTTAAAAATACAATTATAAAATAACAGTAATAACAATCATTAGACAAAAAAATGAAAACAGTCAATAGGATCGCTTCAACACTTCAGATAACTAGGTTGAAAGCTCAACAAAACAACAACCAGTGAATTCAGATCACTCCTTGAGTTTTAAAAACAAGTATTTTACCCTATGATTTTACCCAGATACGTCTTTGTATTTATTATCTCTGGACTAGTTTCATCAAGAAGCCCAAATACAGTTTTGGGAGAAGTAAATGTAAAATCAATATTGTGTGGCTTCAGCCAATTCTGAATCTTGGACCACAGACTTTCACCGAGGCTTTCATTATTTGTCATACTTTTTGATAAGGTCCTTCAGGCCACTCGAGCTGCCAACGCTGCGCCCCTGTGAACTCTTCAAAAGACTCAGACCTGCTACATAATTGATTCCACCCTGGTTGAAAATCTCCTCTCTCGTGCGCACATTTAACCCAAGATTTCTTCCATTAACAAAAGCGACAAAATCTATACTCCTTTTGTTCTGCAGCTCCCGACAAGAACCCTGAAAATGTCAAAATTGAAGGTCATTTGCCTTATGAAATGGATATCCACTGGGAGGTAAGAAAAGGACTGGTCTTTTATTATCCTCTTACTGACAATTCTGTTATGTCAGCTACCTTTAAGCAGTGTATAATTCAAATCTGATACAGCTTTTGAAGTTAAAGAACAAAGATGAAGTTGTATCAATGTTTCATGAGAAATTACCAATACTTCATTTCATAATTTAATTTGTTAGAAATGGCCCTCTTTTGATTTTTCCTTTCTGCGATTGAGATCTTGAGAAAAGACATTTTCTGGGATCACTTTCCATTGAAATCAACTCTATTTTATTTTATTAGAAAGAGAAAGGGAGCTATGAAAAGGGTTTCTTTTCTTTTAACAAGTACAGTAATATATTCAACATTATTGAAAAAAGATGAATCACTCCTCCGACTTATTATCTGGTTGCCCTGTCGGGGTAAAGTAGTCCCCGAATCCTGCATTCATGAGCTCTCCCACTGTTAATGATATGCTTTTGCGAATAATGGCATCCCATTATATTCTCCACTTCTGTGAGGAGATCAATCTTTTCATCTACGATGTCTTAGCAAGCCATGCATCAAAGAAAAGCTATTCTACTAGACCAGGTCAGCTGTTCCATTCTTTTATTAGATAATGGGATAAAACTCTGCTTTCAGTTCACTGGGCTAGCTCAAATCCCCTGGAGGACATAGAAGGAGCATCTGTAACTGAAAGTCTCTATAAAGCGCTTCACGCCATTGTCTCTGCTTTAGTTCTCGTACCTTTTCTCCCCTCAGCCCTTGCTACCCATTCAGCACAACGGTCCGGGTTTGGAGTACGAGGTTTTCTACAAGAGACAAGGGGTGGAGGAGGACTGGCAGAAACACACGGTGAAGAGACACTCGTTTGTGGTGACGAACACCCCCACCTTCGTGCCCTACGAGATCAAGATCCAAGCCAGGAACAATCAGGGCCGGGCCCCCGAGCCAAAGATAGTGTCCGGATACTCAGGAGAGGACTGTGAGTCGTGAGCTTTGTTCACCGAGAGACATATTATAAAATAGCATTTAGCGTAATGTAGCTACAACTGGCATCAGAAAGATAATTGACTTCCCCTAGAAAAACTCTCTCTCGAGGGAACTTTGGGAATTTGGCCTTTGCAGACCATTTACATGCACGAAACCCTATATAACACCCTAGCACAATAGGGCCTGTTGTAAGGCCATATTGTGTTGCTTTTTTCAGTTGGAGAAGATCCTGGTGGATAAAACCAAATGTTGATGTGATTGTAGTTCTGAATTTGACTCTGTCCTAGTTTAAAAAACCGTACTTTATATGATTTTATACAGAAAAATAAGGTTCTAAATGTCTTAGCTTATTCTTCTGCTTAACTCAAATGGACTCGGGGAAAGAAAAATATTACAGAGACTTACTGTATTTCCTGTGTTCAGCTTTCTTCTGGACTTGCCCCAAGGAAGTAAAATCAGGTCATGACTCCTCTCCTTATTGTGTCCTCATGTCAAACGTGGTGCTACAACCAGTATCCCACCCTTTAGATCAATAGTTATATTAGCTTGTGTGACTGTCTGTAGAGCCCATTGATATAGACCCCAAACAGGTGCTTTTGTAAATAGATTATCCATTATATTGACAGTAGTGAATACCTGAAACTGTTTCCTCAAAGCTCTGTTTTTCCTCGACTGCAGATTCTATAACGTGTGTTGTCTTCTACAGTTCCCTCTGCTGCACCTAAGAATGTATCCGTGGAGGTGATGAACAGCTCGGTGGTCAAGGTTAGCTGGATGCGTGTACACAAGGACACGCTACACGGACATCTGGGAGGCTACAGGGTAATACCTCAAAAACAGACCTTTGCTTTTCGACACGGCTTAAAAGCAGCTGCCCTGACCTCGCTCCAAACGCTTGCTCCGCTCACCCCTCTCTGTCTCCTTTACTCATCCAGCTGAGAGAAGAAAAAACAACTCATTTTGCATTCCCTCACACGTCTCTGTGCGTCTCTCTCCAGGTAAACTGGTGGCGTATGCGAAGCCTGGCCGACTTTAAGAAAAAACACGGAGACAAACAGACGCTGGCGTTCCCCGGGGACCGAAACCACGGCGTGTTGTCGGGACTGACGCCTTTCTCCGAGTACAGCCTCATCGTCATGACCTTCAACGGGAGGGGCAACGGCCCAGGCAGCCATCCCCACAACTTCAAAACCCCAGAGGGAGGTAAGGATTGTGGAAAAAACCACATGGAGTGTATTGATTCACAACTACTGAAGGGAAAATCTAATAATAGCCAAGGGATCTGGGCTGCAGAGTTCGACGGCTCACTGTTTGTCTTATACCTTCTTTCGCCCCCACAGTCCCGGAGAAAAATCCTGTTTTCGGGGTCACGGATGTTCAGAAGCACACCGTCTCCCTTGGTGTGGGCCGCGCCCTCGGAGCCTAATGGGATTCTCACCGGGTACCTCCTCGAGTATCAGCTCAGTACGTATCCTTACGCCTCACGCTCAGCTCACTTAGATAGATAGTGTCGCCCCTGTGGTTTTCACTTGTGTTTACATCCCTGCGTCCCTTTCCAGCCCTTGATAAAATGAGTGTAAACAAAACACTCAAGCCATATGTTTCCATTTGGAACTGCATATGAAAGACTTACAAGAGCCCCACGACAATTGTATTTAGATTAAGAGAGATGTGTATTTATTTTCTCTCTTTATCACAACACAGATAGAAAAGTGCACCTGCAGGTCAGTCTTTATGATGACTGAAAGTGGATAGAGAATCAGAAATAGAGTCCCTGGAGCCAACACCAAGTAAGGTTTGAAATCCTAGCACATTTCAGCACAATGCACTACAGTACCATAATACAGTCCTATACATTTAATATCCAGACTGACACTCCTGCCTTCTAATATGTTCATTGAAGGGTCCCAATAACTTCTAAAACCTGGTATATTAGCATGGTTTAAAAACTGATGTCCATTCTGCCAAAGATTATCATACGGGGACTCGATGAGTTTCTGAGGGACTAGTCCCCACCTCACATGAAAGATGAATGGTTTAGCAGTTATTTTGCTCTGTGTTTTTTTGGTAGGTTTTGTCCCAAGGGATTGGTTTCACATGTAATCATAATTTGACTGTTAAAATAAGATAGATAATAATATTGTACATAAAAAAAATCTGGGATAAGACGGAGGGATCGGACCAAGTATACCAAATTGCTCTGTATGGACAAGTAAAGTCTATTTTTACATTTCGTAATAGCAAGAAGTAGACACTGAATTCCACTGTTTTCCAGCTATGCAACAAAACTTGATGTTTTAAGCAAAGTCAGGATAGTTGGAGCAATCCAATATCACATGGAGTCTGCCAGGGATTAGCTCTCTGCTGCATACATTAAAAACAGCCTCACTATGTTAAACACACAGCCTCTACATCCATATTATATCCTATTGTTTTGATACAGACACGTACTTATAGTACAGGAGTGTATTGATACAAGCAGGGTGTCCGCGGGGTCTTAAAAAGTATTACAAGTTGATAATTTAGCGAAAATGAAGGCTATTAAAAAGTATTAAACGGCATTTTTCAAGGTATTACATGTTGTAGCTTGTTTTCAATAAGTATATAAATGGCCCAAAGAGGTTGTATTCTACAGTCTGCCTGAATGTAATCATTGCGTAGGTGTGTAGTGTGATTCTGTGTAGTTTATTGATGGAATCCCGTTGGATTGGACGTCATCTGAACAGGACATCGCGCGCTCACTGCTTGATAGCGCAAAGGTCCGTTTACGCCGGTTGCTAAACAACATCGTTATGGGGAAATGCAAGTCTGCGTCCAAATGGTTGGAAGATAAGGAGGAAGGACAATCAATACTGTATATAGTCAATGTGAGGTAAAGTGTGTCGCCAAGGTAACCGGTTAGAACTCCAAGTGGCGATGAGGTCTTAAAATGTGTGGAAAGGGTCTTAAAAAAGCTCTTAAAAGGTTTTACATCTGACTTCAGGATTCCTGCATATACCCTGTACAAGGTAGGAAGAGGATCATAGTGATTGTCTAACCCATGATCCTCAGCGAGAGAAGGAAAATCATTGTGCCGCTCTAATAGGGCCGGGGGTCACATTGAGATCAGAGAGTGTGTATACAGTAGGAGACATGTCAGGCTGATGTCTGCCGGCCTGCGTGTCACCATCAGAGCTCTGAGAGTGCTGACTGAGGCCAACGTGTCACAGTCTGTTACGCTCCAGCTTTACTGACCTCATCCTGTCCGCAGGGGACATCTCCCCCGTACCTCACAGTCCCAGGGGGGATACCGTCAGTGCACACACGCATACAAACAGTCCATCGTCCTTAAACAAAAGTCATAACCGAACTCCCAACATCGTCGCAGTGCCGCATTTCCCGCCTAATTGGTTTTGATTTGGTGACTGCGAAAGAGGGCCATACAGTATTTCAAGAGAGGACGTTTTCATCGTACCACGGCAATAAAGCTGATGGGCTCTTTCGAAGTGTGACTTATTTTTTTTTTAAGTCCCCTTGAGGGAAGTCATGTGCGAAATGTGGAGGATAATGTAGCCAGCTGTCAGCGTATCATCAGCGGCACAAAGGGAATCTGGAGCTCGGGCACAGCTGTTTGAGGGCGACGCCCATCTCCAGCGCAGCCTGAAACAGCTTCAAGTCTCACGGGTTTTCACAGGAGGGCCTGTCGGAACATCGTTTACCACACCGAGCATGCAGGAACACTGGGGCGTTTAAACTGTTTAACTAACCTGCTTTGAAGTGGCACATTTCCTGAGTGAAACCTTTTGATCATTGTATCGAGGTGATATCAAAGTGGATGAGTGATTTATCAGTACACGGGCCTGTTAAGTACGGAAACCCTCAGAGGCAAGTGGGAAGGAAAAAAAATCTATTTTCAGCTTGTCTAAAATGCTTTGTTTTCCCTCTCTTTTTGTGCCAGGATAATCTTCATAATGTTTCTTTAATCTGTGAAACAAAATATAGAATCAATATATTTTAAATTGAAAAATATAGCTTTGGCAATTTGATACATTTTTTTTTAATGTTTTTGTTTCTGCAATACTTATGTTGGTCTCAAGACTCTGAAATGCAACACTACCCCATGTGTTCATGCTAATACGATAAACTGTATATACCGTGTGTTCAGAATTTAAGGAGAAATTAAATCCACCTGGAAGATTAAGGGGGAAAAGTAAGAGACACATTTCCCTTACACAACTTTTCTTTTACTGGGAAAACTTTTTCTTTCATAATTTTAAGGAATTTGGAAAGATAATCCTGGCAAAAACATTTCACCTTGTTTTCATTCATAAACCCAGGAGAGAAACAAATTAGATCAGATGTACAAAATAGATCACCAGACTTGTTTTCCATGCTTTCCTCTCCGTATTCGTGGAGGAATATCAAGTAAATGTGGACATGATACAGGTTTCCTGAAGCAGTACATTTTGCAGCGCTAATAGCTTCTTTGTGAACTCATACAGAACTTTTTGTCAGTATTCTTTTTCTAAATCACTAAATACATGTCTGAAAGTAAAGCCTGTAGGTATCTCAAAGTTCCTCTCAGCAGTGAGTGGGAGGCATGGTCACACTGCCTTAAAGAGCTGCTAACCCTCTCCAAAACCTGGGGCAGAGTCGGCAAGGAGACAAAACTTCTAATAGCCTGCCTCTCAGCAAGCTAGTCACACCACTCGACACTAAGGTCCGGAGAAGGACTAACAACACATACGTCCTGTTAAACTTGTTCAGATAAGTTTACAGCAGTGTTTGTTGCTTTGTGGCAGAGCCAGAAGCTATTTCAATTCTAAAGTATTTTCACATTTATCTTGTAATTTTACTATATTCTCAGATATGTTTGATTTGTGAAGCCCTCTGAGACAAATGGGCTTTGTGATATTGGGTATGATATATAAATACATTTGAATTAAAGTAGCCATTACACTAACCCTTACCCTTTGCACATGTGCAAATATATTCTAAAAATACTTGATTTTAGTGAGGATCCTTTCGCTAATCACGCTAAAGCCGTCTAGCATCGTGGTCAGAACAACGGCTATCCCCAATAAAATCTGGAAAAGGACAGAGACAAATGAGGAGCGCTGGGTCCATATTTATGGCGAAAAGTCCACTAATCTACAAGAGCGGGAGATAAAAATGACCTTGGATTGATTTAGTTCTGTGTTCCCATTTGAGCTGAACTCATGAGGCAAACTGTGAGGTCATTCTCAGATTTCAGCGTTGCTAACTCTTGGTCTGTGTCACACTAACCAAGGCCAAACATATTTAGCCCAGCAGGGCCAAAGAAGATTTGGAAACCTTGTTGTCTGAAGTCTGGAGCAAGAGCCAAAGTCTACGGCCTTCAGCCAGTTCTCCATAAGATCACATGCTCCATCTGTCGAGCCTGAGTGTCCAGATTACTGAGAGTTTCCATCCATGGGGCAGGATCGTGAAGCTCTGTGGCCTCTCCTCTGCCACAGCCTGCATTGCATAATTCACCTCCAATTTACCGTTTTTGTCCCTGGAAACAAAACGAGAACAACATAAAAAAAATATATCGAGATTTCTGATAGCAGTGGGTGGTGTCGGTGGTAAAAAGAGAAGCAGACCAATACATTCCTGTCATTGTTCCGGTTGCCCCGTACCAGAGAGACGTAGCACCTCTTTCACAGCAAAGGTCACCCGAGCACCCGCTGCGTTTGTTTTTGTAACAAACAAAATAAATGCCACCTCCCTACCCACTGTGCTGCTTTACCTGGTGGAGAAATGAGATCCCATCACAGTGACAACACTAATCCAGTCAAGTTGTGATTGTGCAGGACCCAATCTGTTTGTTTCTGTTGAATACAAACTACATTATAAAAGACGTATTTAGCCAAACAAGAAAAGTTTTCTTTCGCTAAAGACCATAACAAGCAGATGGGCACAATTACGTAACTCTGGCATTGCAAAAAACGTCCAGATGACAACTAGAAGACATTTCAATATCACAGGCAAAGTGATAATTTGTGTGCTTCAAGTAAAGAGAGACCAGTGTAAAACAGCTCAGTGTTTCACAGTAGATCCCAAAGTCACTAGTACATAACATATTGTAAACATATGTATAACCTAACCCTAACCTGATGTCAGTAGGAATTCTGGGACTTGTAAAATGAAACAGCCTAGTCTTGTTTTCCTTTTCAAATGCTACAAGAGCTATATCCAGCACTACTAATAAAGGGATGTCTGTCATATTATCATGACGTTCTCTATTTCCATAGATTGTACAAATAGGTGTGTTCGTAATTGTTCTAGCAACATCTCTCATATGCATGCTGCCCAGAGCTAATACACAACAACTAGCCACACCAATGAAAGTAATTGTAATTGCTCTTCACAGCCTTACGGCCCGTCCCCACAGCGGCATGCGTTGAAAGCTTCACCATTCACTTTGAATGGGGTGACGTCACTTTTTGCCGAACTGCATTGTGGGAAGCGACGCAAAGCTTTGCTGGCGTGGCTCGCTGCAAAAGTTGAGCAATGTTCAACTTTTGAAGCCTCGGCAGACGCGTCAGCCAATCGAATCATATGCCAGTACAAGCTCTAGCCCAGGGCTGTCAAACTCGATTTCATCGCAGGCCACATTCGCATAAAGGTTGCACTCAAAGGGCTGGTTGTAACTATATAAATATACATATATAAATATATAATATATATATAAAATAATTTATTAAATGACATGATTGCCTCTGAATTTGATTATTATTGGATAGGATAATAACTTAGTAATTAACTACGTCTGAAAGCAGAAGTCCAGGGCAAATAATTACAAGTCTCTTCAGTGTGCATGTCACAAAACGAGATGCATTGTGGGACATGTAGTTTATGGGCAACCTGCTTCTGTAAAGTGGCATGTAAACGTATTATATTCTTTGCAAGCTCTTGCTGGGCCACATAAAATGAAGTCGCGGGCCGGATTTGGCCACCGGGCCTTGAGTTTGACACCCGGGCCTTGAGTTTGACACCCCTGCTCTCGCCAATCAAACCGCTGCTTGTGTGTCAGGGGCGGGAGATTCATGTGATTGGTTGTTGGTCGAGTTTCAGACACGCCCGCCGGCAAGCTTCAACGCACGCCGCTGTGTGGACGGGCAGTTACTGTCCACCTTTAGTTGCATTCCCAAAATGTACATTTCATTTAGCTGACGCTTTTATCCAAAGCGACTTACAATTACCAATTTCAGGGACATTCTCCCCGGAGTAACTAAGGGCCTTACTCAAGGGCACACTGGTGGTGGTGTTCCAGACGGGATTTGAACTCACAACCCTCCGATCTTCAGCCCACCTCACTATCCATTAGACCACCACTACCCACAAAATCAATCTGCGTACCGTTGAAACATTAGAGTTGTTACTTTTTAAGCACACAATGAATGCCATGTGCTGCGTGGTCGATGACTGTCAGGCATCGGTGATGGACGGCGGCTAATAGGCGCTCCCTTAAGTGACAAAGGACAATCATTGAAAGCGATTAGCCTTCCTTATTACACTGTGAGAGCAGGTATTCAGACTTTAAACGGTTTTCTTGTACTTTTACCGGTTTGCGTGTAAATGCAAATGAGCCACTCTCTTATTCCATGTACATGTTATTTAAGGCAGGATACCCCGTACGTACATACAGATAGTTACTGTGTCATTTGCACATCTACATCAGAGCATTAGTCTAAGGCTGCACAATTAGTTAAAACTTTAAATCGAAATTGCAAGTTGGACTACCTCATTACATTTGCAGGAAGCACAATATTATTAAGGCTAAATATGCGTTTATATAATTTTGAATGAAGTATCCTACATGTCATATTGAACAACTCATTTGTTTAGTTACGTGGTAATATGTTTTTCAATGATAATGAGAATAATAATGCAACAATTATTAACCCATCCAACATCAGGAATCATATCGCAATTGATATATCAGCCAAAACAAAAACGATTATATATATTTTGTAATCGTGCAGCCCTTTAGCAATACCTCTTTTCTAGTGCGGTCAGTTGATTTAAAAATGGATTCACGTTAGTCACACACATCTGTTATTAATCATGACTAATCAAAGAACCTTTGTCATGGATTAGTTGTGCCATGATACCGAGGTAGTGATGGTTCTTATTGACGCCCAATGGTCTTGACTCAATGCAATAGACTCAATGCAATAGGTGTAGTTTGTGCCAATTCCTCTGCCTTCTTTGCCTTATCACTGCTATGCAATTAATGGTAAACACCTGTGTGGTGGAAATTCTTAAGAGAAACTGATAAATGATTCATGGACGATCAAGTTTGTCTTTTGTTATATTTAATAAAGTAATAAAGAAAGTCAATATACAAGTGAAATCGATCCCAAATGTAGGAACAGAGCTACTTCATCCTCAGAGGATAGAAAAGTTCTGCACCCCGAACACAGCTCACAGTCACACTATATAGTAGAGAGAAAAGCCAACTGGTCCCACCCTTACGGCCCGTCCACACTACAGCTTCGACAGCTTCAAAAACGGTTTCCAACGCACCTGCCCATTCACTTTGAATGGGGTGACGTCACTTTTCTCCGAACTGCATTGTGGGAAGCAGAGCGGAGCTTTCCTGGCGTTTCAGGCTGCAAAAGTTGAGCAATGTTCAACTTTTGAAGCTTCTGAAGCTTTCGGTGGAAGCGTCAGCCAATCAAATCATATGCCAGTACAAGCTCTAGCCAATCAAACCGCTGCTTGTGTGTCAGGGGTGGGAGATTCATGTGATTGGTTGTTGGTCGAGCTTCAGACACGCCCAGCTCCAAGCTTTTTTTAAAGCTGTAGTGTGGACGGGCCGTTAGGCAATCAGAATAAGACTGTGTTTTAAATCAGTGCTTCTCAAAGTGTGGTCCGCGACCACTGGTGGTCCGTGAGCGCCCCCTAGTGGTCCGTGAGTATATTGGTAACGTTTCACATTTTAAATAAATAAAAGTTTTCCGCACTCGCGGGAATTTCTCCGCAATGGAGCGAGGTTAAGTTTCACCTTCGATTGCATGGTATAGCCCAGTGCAACACCTTCGTCACACATGTTGCCACTTGTTTGTACCATTTTCAGGCGATTTGTAATCTGTTCTAGAAAAACGATGTGTTTTTTGATATTTGTGGGGTTAGGTGGTCCGCCAGTGTTTTTTTATTAGTTAAGTGTCCTTTGTATGAAAAAGTTTGAGTAACACTGTTTTAAATGATTATTATATGATCTTTTGACACGACAACCTGCACTGGAATTAGAGGGGGAATTAGTGTTCAAACTTAGTAATGTACATTTTCGTACGTTTCCAGATTAATTGCGTGTGTAAAAGTTGACAGCCCTACTCTTTTCTTTATTTTTACATCCAGTCAACGAGACGGAGGAAGTGGGCCCCCTGCAGACCGTAAACATCAGCAACCCGGACACCAACAAGTGGATCCTGCGCGACCTGGAGCCCTTGAGCAAATACAAGCTGTACCTGCGCTCCTGCACCACCATGGGCTGCGGGCCCATCAGCAGCGAGGAGTGCACCACCACCCTGGAAGCAAGTGAGTGATGAAAGCAATTGAGTGGGAGGTGTATGTGTGGATAAGCGAAGGAGACAATGGAAACACAGACGGCTTTGAGGCGTTCAGGAAGTAGAAGCAGGGGACCAAACCATTTCACTTTTTTTCAAAAACTAGCGGAATATGATCAATGCCTGGGCAGCCAAGCTTTTCATATCTCCATGTAAGTATTTTTTGTGGATAAACAATTTCATATGGGTGCAGTGGAGGTTTTCATTTGTCACTGTCATGAGAGAGCAAGAGCTTATTGATTGGATGGAGAGCGTGAGCTATGAAACAATCAGCTAAGAAACCAAATTGCTTTGAGCAGGGGCGGAAACTGAAGGTTTTCATAGTGAATTGTGTGATCATGAGAAGAGTTGCTGGGTAAGTAATCATAATGTAATCTTTAATTTTCAATTACGGATCATTTGCCGAGGACTGCAGCTGTTATGAGAGACTGGACTGGACAGGAAATGAAACAGGAAACTCCACCTGAGTCCAAATGGACCGCAGCAACAGATATTGTCAGCATGAATAATTGGGTGGTGCTTTTAACCCTTAAGTGGTTTCTATCCTGGGGGATCCAATCATTTGACAGGCTGTGTCCATGTGTAAAATGGGTGCAATAACAGTGTAATTACGGTCAATAGTGGTGTTACATGCGTGTTATATCGGTCTAATAACAGTGCACAATGGTTGCAATATTGCTGGTGCTTTTGTGTAATATGATTCAAGGCTTTTATTGTCATGTGTACATAGCTACAGTGTAGTTATGACGATGAACATCTTAGGGCAAAGGCTCCTCCAACACAATAAAACAGATACAATAATGCAAGTAAATAAAATACAATAGAATATAGTAGAAATAGTGAATAGTCTATATACAAGTCATTGGGATATTGATATAAGTTGCAAACAGATGAATGTTATGGATGTCCTTTCAAAAGTTCAGGTGTGGGTCTAATAACAGTGTGAGATGGGTGTAATAAAAGTGTTATATGAATGTAATGTTGACAAAAAGTACATTTAAGGGTTAATACAGACTATGACAAAAGCCCATGGTAGTGAACACAAAACAACATAAAGTTGAGACACACTTCGAGCGATTACTTATTGTTAACTGGAAGAAACCCTTACAATCACAGAAAACAAAGTTAATTGGCTATTAGGAGTTATCTATTTGCATGTTGAAAAGCCAGCCGCAAAAAAAGAAAGTGATTACCGGGACTCATTTTATATGTATAGAAATGTGCGGAGCTGTTACATGTGTGTGTGCGAGACTCCCAAGTTATTAGTCGCAGCTGTGCTATCGCTGTGTGTGCATGTCGGTGTTGTTCCTGTTAATTGTCCTGCTTTCTCTTACGCCACTAGAAGCGCTTTGAGCACTGCCTTTGAACACAGTGTGTATTGTAAATGTCTGCTTAGCATTGCTTGTCCCTTTTTTCTTTATTCCTTTTTTTCCTTCGCAGCTTCCACTCTGGCTTCCCCTGTTGGCATCAGTATGTAGATCTGTGTTCACGTAGAGTTTGTGGCATGTCATACATGCAAATACAATGTGGATATATAAGTTTCATTAATGTGCCGTGGGTTGGTATGACATGTGTATCAGTCATGCCAGTTATTTGTAAGTAGCGTGTGCATGCTTTAGATGTAGACATGTTAGCAGGTGTGGGTGATACAGGCCTGAATAAATCATCAGGGTTTCTCAAACACATATTTTTCCAGTACAGAAGGAGAAAAGCGTGGCTCCTCTGCAGATAATTGACCTTGTCTGCCGTTTGCCCTTGCCATCAGCAGAGAGCACTCTGATGCCTCCTTTCATTAGAAAAACTTCTTCTTAGATAAAGTTTGTGGCTTCCTCACAATTAGCAATGCTAATGAGTAACCTAATTACAGATTCGTATTAATCTTTGCTCATTAGTGACTGTAAACGAATATTGACTTTTATCCCAGCAACAGCAGTCGGTGCAACACGTCTAACTCAAGCTGCGGAAATAAATGATGCTTCAAGAGCCAAACGCAGGAAGAGCATCAGACATCCCTCTACCTATTAATCATGAACAAAAAGAAGGAATCCCTTTTTAAAATGAAAGATCAAAAAAGATGATATAAAATCACAGATAAGATAAAGCTTTATTGTCTCCCTTAGGAGAAATTTGTCTTGGGCATCGAGACCTTGGGTATCAACACAGTTACAATGTTTTTGGTAGATCATGTTTCACACTTAGTTACTAATTGTTTAAAATAGCATGCGTGCTAACAGTAGAAACGTAGCGCCCCCGAGCTAACTCCCTATTGATAACAACAAGATCTGTCTTTCTTTTCAGGCAAGTCAGCCTCCCCCTCACCTCCGAGCACTCGAAGGTCCCCCGCGACCAAACCCACTCGCTCCACCATAGGTAGAGCTGCAGCACATTCTGACACATCAGCATCACGGAGGCAAACGGGGGAATAAATATGGAAAAACAAGAAACCACATACATGTTTATGCTTTGTCAGAACAGTTTGTAGTTGCTAGGTGACGTGATTTCCCCCAGATTCTTCCAGAAAGATCTCTAATGTATATAGACTAATTTAGGGAAGCCCTGAGAGGCCAATGAGAGAAAAACGTGGGGTAGGTAATGTTGGAGAAACCAGCTCGAGTGCGAAAAATCTGCCACTTCCTCACAGAGCCCCTCCTCCAACACACACGAACGCGCACATGACCAATGAGGGCACGAGATCAGTTTGTGCACAGATGGAAGGCTGACAGGCAGGGAGGCCATCCAGTTACTTTAGCCGGGCCGGCTCACATGATTGGTCGTGCTTTTTACAGCGCTACAGCTTCCACAGATTACATCTTTTTATGGATTTTTTGTCAAAGTACTTCAGATATTCATTGCTATCGGGATGTTAAGAGCATTCCATGGAATATAACAAAAAGTGTATCTCAAGCCGGTTTCTCAAACTTACCTACCCCACCTTTAATATTACTTTAAAAAAAACTTTTAATAAGTGAATTTGTTTTTTATCATTGTATTTAGTTTTAATGTAATTCTCATTTCAGCCACAAGAGGCTCCACTGCATCACTACCTCTTGTTCCTAATATACTGTAAGACTTAAATCCTTAGTTTCTCCATGCACTCTGAATTTAAACACATTACTTATATCTAATTTATATTACGGAGGCAAACGGGGGAATACATATGGATAAATAAGAAACCACGTACGTGTTTATGCTTTGTCAGAACAGTTTGCAGTTGCTAGGTGACGTGATTTCAGATGCTTTTGGTTGGGCTGTGGGTTTAAAGTAAAGTGATAACAGATATCTAATGTTATAATCTAATATAGACTTATTTACGGAAGCCCTGAGAGGCCTACGAGCGAAAATAAGTTAGGTCGTAAACATAATTTATAAACGAGTAAATTATTCAGAACAGTTGAAAAAGGTTTTCCAGGATAACATTACTTTTTTAACAGTAATAGGTGAAAATATGTTATTGTTTTGATGTTATTCTTATTTCAGCCACAAGAGGCTCAATTGCACTACTACCTCTTGTTAAAAACGTATTTTGCACAGCTATTCACAGATTATTGTTATAGTATTAAATAGTCAGCAGCCAGTAATAATAATAAGCTTAACGAAGTACATATAAGAAAACTAGAAGAAAGGACCTGACTACCTATAACCTAAAAAATAGACCAGGCCAGAAATAAACAACTATTCTGATGATTCTTGTTCTGCATCAGAGGGTTTCCATACTTCCTTTTGCAGATTTATTTTGTAATACTAGGTGTTGTTTCCAGTGGAAACACGGGTTGAATTGCAACACAGCAGCTCCATTGTTTTGTTTCTTATAGGACAAGTGCATACTGATGAAGAAGACCATTTTAATTTATCCTCTGTTACCTTGGGGGAAATCTAAGATACTAGATCTATATTCCGACCCGACAGTGTAGCGCAGTCACTTGAAGGGAACAAATATGTCTAATTGTCAGTGATTGATTTGTTGGGCCTCAGTTCCCCCCAGCACACGCCATGTATTGACCCAACAGTCACCTGACATTTCCATGTAATCTTCAACTGGGTAAACAGCAGCTCAGGGGACAAGAAGATGCTCGGGCCGCTTCTTAGCCGAGGGGAAAATAGCGAGTGTGAACATTCTCCTGGTCGCCGACGGGGGTGTGAGCTCATACTGGGAGGGTGATATTTACAGGACACTGAGATAAGTGGATAAGTAGAAGCTGTTGGAAGCTACTATATCAGAATATTTCCTGGCCTCTCCTCCGAAAAGAAAATCTGGGTGACTTTGAAGGGGCATCTTCCAAGGCTCTGGCTCCCTGCTGCGAGAGCAACTGCTTTCTGCAGGATTTAATAACAAGCTGAGAACCGTGGTGACGAAACACGGCTGCTGGCCTTTGGGATATTTTTAGTTTGGGCCGCCTATGTCGGGGGAAGTCATCGCCCAGCTCTAATAATTGGAATTACCATAGTTTGCAGACTAATCCATCAACATTAGCAAGAGGGTGTCACTGGCAGTGTTTGGGGCAGCGCAGACGCAGGTGTCCTTGTGTGCCTGAATTATCACCTGAGCAAATAATGCACCTGAGCTGGAGACGCAGCAGAAGATTTGCATGTTTGCCGTGGGGAAATGAAGTGGATTGAGCTTTGTTGACTGGCTTAGACAGCTGCTGTCAAAGCGGACTCTCCCCATACTAATGATGCACATCATTCACCACATTATTAGATTGTTTGTCTTCCCAGTTGGGTACCAATGGCTACATTACATGATCCGTCTGAGGCACATAAAGCACATCTAATTTGCTCTTGTTTTCAAAGAATATAACATGTAGGATATTTATTAATGCCCACTTATAATTGGATAGCTCAAAGAAAAAGAAATCATCCGGGGATGTTGATACCATTGAGGACAATGTCAATATACATATCATGTCCTCAAAGCTGCTTGGAATTACATTTATTTAGTTTGCTTCTAAGGCTGATCCAGATTTATTGTTTTTCACCAAACAATGCTCATGGTCACATTGATCATTTGAATTATAAATATCAATGCCAAAAGTTTCATTTTGCTTTTATACAGAACCAACAATGAATTAACTTAAGAAAATAGAATGTTCTTTTGTTTTTCTAAATAAGATAATTGATTACAACTTTGAAGAATATTTTCATCTGGAAAAAGTTGTCTGTTTTTCAGAGATCCCAAAACTCCCCAGAGAAGCTCTCATTTACTTCCAGTCTAAATAGGTTTGTGTGTCAGAAATTGGGCCAAAACTTGTATCTTGTAGACTAATAACAATACTCTATCATTTAAGCATGTGAACATGTCACAGTAGAGGCACAAAATACAAGTATGAACCTGAAAATTAGCATTAAAAGGCCCCTTTAAACACAAGTGTATCTCCATATGTCACAAACCCAAGTAAAGGAGAGCTTCCTCCAGAAATCTAAGTTTTTCTTAGCAAAAAGTTGTCGGTGTAATTCCTCAGTACTTTATCTCTAAAATCAATAGTGGAATTGTATGACTTAAAAAGGTATTGACTGTCCTGCCTGTGTAAAATATATTTCTGTTAAACGACAAAAACACAAGACCCATGAAGAACATTTAAAACCCCATCACATAGATTTGAAGGAAGAATTGCCTTTGCACAGCTTTGTAGATCTCATTCATCTTCATTTCCATATCCACATTAGTCTTGCCATGTTGGCTGTCACCTCCTGTCCCCTCTGTCAGACATAATTGATACCTCCTCACAATAGTGTTAGGAAACAGAAGAGCGCGCTCTCCTCTTTCGGAGAAGGTGAAGAGCGACATCTTTCATCGCATAATGACAACAATCCTAACCCCTCCATGCTGGCACTGAGGTGCTGTGTCCTCTACTAACCCTTGTTTGCCGTTCCTCTCCTTTCTATTCTGTCTCCTGCAGTCCCGGGCCTGTTGAGTTTTAGCTCAGCTCTTAGTAACAGCTTTATTTATTTTATTTAGCCTTTATTTATACAGGTGTAAAATGTCATTAAGACACAAGGTCTCATTTTCAAGAGAGACCTGTTCAGTGGTAACACTACCACACAAAGTTACAGACAGACAGGACACTAAACACAGAGGCAACACTAAAATACAACATCGTAAAAAAAGTAGTCATTGTAATCCATATACAGTCAGATATAGCAGGTGCAAACACCCACAGATGATTTCTCCAGCTTTTTTAAAATGAGTTTAAACTGGTCAGCTTAAGTTCCTGCTGAAGTGTGTTCCAGGTCGAGGGGGCAGAGTATGATATGGCTTTTTTCCCAAGCACCGTGTGTACTGAGGGGACGGACAGAGTGATGTAATTTTTAGATCGTAGTCTATAGCTGTACTGTTTGTGTGATATGTAGAGGGGCAGCAGTCCAAGCATAGCGGTATAGATGAGTTTGTACCAGTGCAGTGATCTGCGTATTGATAATGATGTCCAGTTGACTAAAGCGTACAGTGTGTGAGGGGTTTACAGTTGGTTATGAACCTCAGAGCCCCATGGTAAACAGCGTCCAGCAGATGAAGGGAGTGAGCTACACAACATCCCCGTAGTCCAAGAGCGGCAAAAATGTGGCAGCTCCAAGCCGTTTCCTCGCACTTGTGGAGAAGCAGGCCTTATTTCTAAAAAAGAATCCCAGCTTTAATTTCAATTTCCTTAAGAGATTGTCAATATGTGCTTTGAAGCAGAGATTTGCATCTATGGTGATGCCTAAGTATCTGTAGGTGTTAACGGCTTCAATGGGGTTATGCTGTGCAGACATGATGCAGGGAAGAACAGTTGGTAACTTTTTCTTATTGGAAAACAACATGACTTTTGTCTTATCTGAATTTAGCACCAACCTAAGGTGGAACAGATGTGACTGAAAAGTGTCAAAAGCAGACTGCAGACGTTCAAATGCAAGGGCAACAGTGCACAACAGTATCATCTGCATATAGATGTACAGAGGCATCAATACTTTGACCCACATCATTTATATAAATATACGGAGTATATACATATTGCACATATGAAGAACCGTGAGCTCATTCTACTTCGTCTTTGGACAGTGTTAGTTGATTTGTTCCCATATTGATACCAGTATTACTTTCAATACAGCCTCAAATGACAAATAACGCATATATGGCCCGTTCCAATATCACCGTATCTCATTATTGGCTCATTTACGCTACAAAGTGTTCGAAAAGTTAGTTTGCAAACAGCTAACATGGTTTCTGAAGGCTTACAACATACTATCTGACATGCAGTCTGGGTTCCGTGCAGGTCATGGATGTGAGACGGCGACTCTTAAAGTCCTAAATGATATCATCAATGCCCTTGACTCCAGACAATACTGTGCTGCCATTTTCATCGATCTTGCCAAAGCCTTCGACACTGTATATCACCAACTGCTTCTGGGAAAGCTTAGATGCATTGGTGTCACTAACCAATCGATAGCCTGGTTTGAAAACTACCTGTCCATGCGAACCCAGTGTGTACAATCTGACAATCTGATGTCACAGCCCCTAGCCATCTCTAAGGGAGTACCACAAGGCTCTATCCTAGCACCCATCCTATTCTCAATATATATAAATGACATGGAGAAATCAGTGGGCAACTCCTCTATCCACCTATATGCTGACACGATTCTGTACACTGCTGGCCCTTACTTACTTATACTGTCCTGAAAACCCTTCAGGATAGTTTTCAGAGAATCCAGTCACATCTCTCGAGGCCTGTACCTGAACACCACTAATACCTGGATTGGCAGTAATCTGTCATTCTCAGAACATCTCTCCAAAATTCAGAACAAGGTTAAAGCTAGACTCAGCTTTCTATATAGGATTCACTTCATCTGCTAAACTCTCGCTGGTCCAGATGACTGTCCTTCCTCTGTTCGACTACGGTGATACCATCTACCGCTCGGCGTGTAAAGGAGCTCTCGATCATTTAGACGTTCTGTATCACTCCGCTATCCGTTTCGCCACCAATGATCACATCACTGTGATCTGTACTCTCTGGCAAACTGGCCCTCTCTTGAGACCAGGCGCAACATCCACTGGCTGTTATTTGTTCATAAAACAGTCCTAGGCCTCACCCCCCTTCTACCTCACACAATTACTGCAACTCCGCTCGCCCCCCACACAGCACCCGCTCAGCTACACACATCCTGCTAAAGATCCCCAAAGCCCATACATCCTTTGGCCGCTCCGCCTTTCAGTTTGCAGCAGCTGATGGCTGGAATATCATACAAAAAACCTTGAAGATGGAGACCTTTATCTCCCCCCGCACCTTCAGGGACACTATTACAAGCACCCTGGTACACACATACACACATACACACATGCAACTGCTTTGCCTGATGCTCACTACCAATGTCTTGACCTCTCCTATAGTATTCATTGCTATGAAGGAATTAATGGATGAATGAATGAATGATTGATTGAATGTTCTATATTATTTTAATGACTGATTGAACAGCAGTATTAATCTAGATAAGTTATATGTTTAACTGCTATGCCTGTCATCTCTGCCTACAGTGATTGGCTTCAGTTAAAAATCAATCAATGATGGATAAAGCTAATGAGTTAGCAATCTTACCCTTGCGTCATAAATTGTGAAAGCATTTTAGCAATTTAGTAACCTAATTGTTATTTATTCCTATATTTTATGTATTTATTTAGTACGACGGAGTATTAGTGCCACACTTAGAAAAAAAACCCAGAGATTTCGAGAATAAAGTCGTAATAATACGAGAATAAAGTCATAGTTACGAGAATAAAGTCGTAATATTACGAGAATAAAGTCATAGTTACGAGAATAAAGTCGTAATATTACGAGAATAAAGTCATAGTTACGAGAATAAAGTCGTAATATTACGAGAATAAAGTCGTAATATTACGAGAATAAAGTCGTAATGTTACGAGAATAAAGTCATAGTTTCATAAGTGACTTGAGAATGAGACAACAGCAGCGTCCTGCAATAAAATGAGGAATGTGGAGCATCTTGTGAAGCAGTACTTTAGTTTAGGTTTCTCAAATAACTAAATACTTCATCTTTTGGCACATCAGCATCAGATTATCATAAGTATTAGAACTTTGAAAAGGTTGTGCAAGAAACTATGTCTATTATTTCGAAGAAAGAACCAAACGGACTTGGAGGAGATTGTCTCCTTTCTGCAGGAGGAAATAGCTGGTTCTGGCCGACTACAAGGCTATTGTTGGTTACATCTACGAGCTGTTCAAAGGGGATTTGTTGTTTCACAAGAAACAATGAGACTTGTAATCAAGGCTTTGGATCCAGAAGGAGTCGAACGATAGCCTTGTAGTGGAATCGGAATGAGCTCCCCATTGAAATCAGGACAGCAGAAAGCTTACATATCTTCCGGCGCAGACTGAAAACTCATTTCTTTCGACTCCACTTCGAGCGATAGAAGTACTAACAAATAATTACTAACAGAGCACTGATATACTAACAAAGGACTGGCTTATCTATAGCCAGTTGAGTAGCACTTGAAATGTTTTAGCTCCATGAAACCTGATGTACTTATATGATTCTGTTTTCTTCAAGTTTGTATCTTGTTGGTCGAATGCACTTATTGTAAGTCGCTTTGGATAAAAGCGTCAGCTAAATGCAATGTAATGTAGTCGGCCAGAAACAGCCATTTCCTCCTGCAGAAAGGAGACAATCTCCTCCAAGTCCGCTTCTCAAGTCACTTATGAAACTACGACTTTAATCTCGTAATTATTACTTTATTCTCGTAACATTACGACTTTATTCTCGTAATATTACGACTTTATTCTTGTAACTATGACTTTATTCTCGTAATATTACGACTTTATTCTCGTAATGTTACGACTTTATTCTCGTAACTGACTTTATTCTCGTAACTATGACTTTATTCTCGTATTATTACGACTTTATTCTCGTATTATTACGACTTTATTCTCGTAATTATGACTTTATTCTCGTAATGTTACGACTTTATTCTCGTAATATTACGACTTTATTCTTGTAACGGACTTTATTCTCGTAACATTACGACTTTATTCTCGTAATATTACGACTTTATTCTCGTAATTATGACTTATTCTCGTAATGTTACGACTTTATTCTCGTAACTATGACTTTATTCTCGTATTATTACGACTTTATTCTCGTAATTC